CTAGTCCAACCCCCAGCTCAAAGCAGGGTCATCCCCAACTAGATCATTCCAGCCAGGATTTGTCAAACCAGGCTTTAAAAACTTCCAAGGATGGAGATTTCACCACCTCTCTAGGCAAGGGGTTGAGAGAAACTTGCGTGATGAACCCCTTGCTAAAACAGCCCGTAGTTTAGCTGAGTGGCTGGATGACTCTTTCCAACCAGCAGTGTCTGGACTTGTGTGCTCAGTGTGCACCATTCACAGAGCTGAGGCCTTTTCCTAGGGGCACTTTCACAGTCTGCCAAAATCTCTTGAATTCTGCTTCAGCATCAGTATAGGCCAGAGGTCCTGGGTGCCTGCTGCTAGAGAACCATAGCATCATAGAGGGTTGGAAGGGCCCTCAGGAGGTCACATCTAATCCAACCCCCTGCTCAAAGCAGGCCCAGCCCCAACTACATCATCCCAGCCAAGGCTTTATCTAGCCAGGTTTTCAAAACCTCCAAGGATGGAGACTCCACCACCTCTCTGAGTAACCTGCTCCAGTGCTTCATCATTTCTTGCTTCTTTATGGCTTGTGTTTTTTGCCCTTGGTCAGGTATTTACTAACTGTGGCCTGACACGGCTGCTTCTCTTTCCATCCTCAAGGCTGCATTTGTGTCTATAATCATTTGAACTTGTTAGCAAAAATACATTAAATGCAGCAAAATAGCTGTTAATATATTTGGTCGCCTTAGTTATTAATGTTTTATGATGCAGTTGTAATACAGTCTGTAGGATACAGGCCCTTGGTTTGCTGTTCAGTCATTTCTGCAGTTTTGATTTAGGTTTCCTGAAAATGGCCACGCCCAATATCCACACTTTCCCTACAATTTGGTTATGCTTTGATTATTATGTGTTTGTTTCAAATTATAGTGCTTTTTGTGACCCATAGCTCATGCTGCACAGGCCTATGCATGTCTACACCCAGATTCAGGGGAATGCACAATTGAGTCATGAGTTTCATCTGTGTTCTCACAACCTGGATTGGGAAAACAAAGATCTAAACCAGACAGAAATGTCTCATCCAGTTCATCAGTGGTTTGGCCTTTCATTGGTGAATGTTTGGTAACCTCGCACTAGTTGACTCAGTTGTTTTCTCTCATAGGTGAGCAAGCCCAAGAAGACACAATAATAAGGTACAAATGTTCATTGTAGCTTCCAGGAAGAGGGCAGGGAACAAAAACAGCCCGGGTGTAACTCAGTCCCATTTCAGGATGTCCCACCGTGCGCTGATCCCAGCACCCAGGACCGGTTGCACCACATGGATTTGGTGCCTCCTGACTCATCCCGTTGTGTCTTTGTCTTGTGTTGCAGCTGGGATGGGGAATGTTGATTACTTGACTGTTCCCGACTCAGCCTTGGAAAGCAGGACCTGTCAACACAACGCCCACTCGCTTACTACCATTCATCCTGCCACCTTGCTGAATTTTCAGGCACAGACCCACCAGCTCCACCTCTTCTGTTGCAAGCACCTGCCTCTTTCCAAAGGCCCGATTCTCCAAATGCCAGATGCAGAGTGGCTTCCAGGGGTGGTGAAAGCCATCACTTCCTCTCAGAGCCATGCTCTGCAACCCAATGCAAGGCGGTCTTGTCACCAGAACTGTATGAGCTCCCCTCAAGCCTGAGGATGAGCTATTCAGACTGTCTCTGCTCTGGGATCTCTCAAAGTCCCATGCGGATCCTGGCATCCTACAATGTTAGTGTTGTACCTATTGACTTTGCCAAAGGCAGATGATCCTAAAATGTATTGCAATTCTCTGGCCCAGTGGAAGGCAATGAGGCCTGACTGGAAGTCTCTGGTGGTTCTGACTCACAGGACACCCATCCCAACCAGGAAAGGTCAGGAGACAGGTGGCATATCCCAGTAGCATATTGGATGGACAAACCAGAGGCCTGTTTTTACCATGCCATCAGAGGTTTTCTTTGGGAAAAACCCTCTTGGCCAGTCCTCCCCCATGGCCACATGTCTTGCAACTCAACCCCAGCTTCCCCTCGCCATGACAAGCTTCCTTCCTGGCCCTAATTGGTGCTGTGTTTGTGCCATTTTGGGGGGGGGGAGGGGTTGTGTTGCTTGTGAAGTGGGTGTTTAAAGAACAAGCAGAACAGGCTGCCAGGCTCCACACATGGGATGCAGCTTTCTTGTGACCACCCTGGGGTGATCTCCCATCTTTGCTCCTGTCCCTTTACAGCTGCAGGGTCAGTCTGCCCCCAGTTTCCCTTGGGATGGGATCCCAGATACAGATGGCACTAGAAATATGAATCTTAGAATCATAAAAAACAAGGGGTGGAAGGGACCTCAGGGGGTCACATCTAGTCCAACCCCCTGCTCAAAGCAGGACAAGCCCCAACTACACCATTCCAGCCAAGGCTTTATCTAGCCAGGTCTTAAAACCCTCCAAGGATGGGGATCCCACTACCTCTCTGGGTAACTTGTTCCAGTGCTTTACTACCCTTGTAGTGAGTTTTTTCTAATATCCAACCTAAATCTCCCTTGCTGCGATTTGAGCCAATTTCTTCTTCTTCTGTCTCCTGCCACCACTGAGAACAGTCCAGTTCCATCCTTTTTGCAACCACCCTGCAGGGAGCTGAAGGCTGCTGTCAAATCTCCTCTCAGTCTTCTCTTCTGCAGACTAAATCAGCCCAGTTCCCTCAGCCTCTTCTCAGACATCATGTCCCCCAGCCCCCAAACCATTTTTGTTTCTTCCACTGGACTCCCTCCACCTTGTCCACATCCTTTCTGTAGTGGGGGCCAAAAACTGGACACAGGACTCCAGATGTGGCCTCACCTGTGCAGAATAGAGGGGAAGAAATACTTCCCTCGATCTGCTGGCAATGCTCCTACCAATGCCACCCAGGATGCCGTTAGCTTTCTTGGCAACAAGGGCACGCAGCTGACTCATATCCACCTTCCTGTCCACTGTCACCCCCAATTCTGTTTCTGCAGAGCTGCTGCTGGCAATCAGTCCCCAGCCTGTATCGGTGCATGGGATTGTTCTCTCGTAAGTATTTGTCCTTGTTGAACCTCAGATGTCTTGTGGCCCAATCCTGCAATTTATCTAAGTGAATCCTCACCCTACCCTCCAGCATATGTACTACAGGACTGAGGGCTTTGGCTGTAGTTAAATTAATTACCTCTGCAAAATGCTTTCTTTTCTCCTGACTTCATCTGCTGGAAGCTCAAGAGGACAGGCGTGTTGTGACCTGAGGATCTGTTACCCGAAGCAATCACAGACTGATACATTCGCTGCACAAGCCTAATGTAAATTTCCTTTTATTAGTGAATATAACAATTGCAATTCACGCATCTATCAAACAATACTTCTGCCTCACCCCTGCCTCTGCCCAGCCCTGGCAAACACAGCACCACTTGTTCCTTAACCACCGTGTTCAGACCTGGACCAGTGTATTCCTTGTAAGGAGCTCTCAATTCCCAATTGACAGTAAACGGGACATTCACGGCTGTAGAAATTTCCTGCACTGGCTGACACACCAGTGCAGACCCTCCCACAGGCTTCTCCTGCATCAGTCTGAGCAGCTTGTGCAGGCACCCTGGTGTCTGCTCATGCCTGGGACTCCCACCACCTGCCACGATGAGTTTACTGACATACAGCCTGCCCCTCCACGGGCTCTTGGGTCCCTGAGTGGCATTCCCTTACCAAGAAGATGCCTGTGGAAAGGTAGCCCAGAAAGCAAATCCAGGAGAAATATGAACCCTCACATTCCAGGGCAGAAGCCCAATGCAGGCTTTTGGGGGCCAGGAGAGGGAACATAGGTTCTTTCTCTATTGCCACCCATTTTGGGGAGGCTGCTACTTTGCACTTGGTGCCCTTCTCTGAAGCAGATGGGGCTGGCTGAAGCCTCAGACAAGCTCCTGGGCTTGGGGGGCTTCTTGGTCTGGTTCACCATTGGTAGCCTACACCAGGACTGGCTCTGTGGGTGTCAATAGTGACACAAGTGTGAAAGCAGTGCCAAGGAAAGGCCTGGGAGTGCAATGTGGGGTCTCCCAGGCTGCAACACGTGACTTGCACATTGGATTCTGCCGGGAAGCGAGCACCCTCTTCGGTGCAGTGCTGTCTGCCCATCCGGGACCACTGTAGAGTTGGGTTCATGACTCATGGGGCCAGAAGGCATTGGCAAGAGGGGCAGGGCTGGTTTCACGCCTTACTGGAAGACATGGGACCTCTCCTCTGCACTAGGGATGGTGGTATGTTTTATCCAATAGCTGGGCCTGGGAAAACACCTCCCCATCTCTCACACCAACGGAGTCAGCAGGGGAAGCTGGAGTTGAGCTCTGCCGAGTGAGACAGCCCAGTCGGAAAGGCTGGTGAGCCCTGAGGGGAAGGGAGGCAGTGGAGAGGCTGGTAGCCAGACAGGACAAGCCCAGTATGCCAGGCCAGGGAGAAATCGGCCCCTGGCAGCCAGAACGGCAGAGCCCCCAAGGGCCCGATGACACCCCCAGAAGCTCGCTGTTGTGGCGAAAGCAGTGTTGGAGCCCGCTCCTGTCCTGGCAAGAAGCACTGAGGGCTCAGGAACCCCAGTCTGAGCTGTTTGCATTGCAAAGAGCCCCCCTACACTGTGCCCTCACTCAAGGAAGTAGAGCCCCCAGCAGGCCGGGCAGGAGGGACTGAGGCCTTGCAGTGGCCTTGCAACAGAAGGGCACTAGCCTGCCACATTTGATCCACCCCCTGCCCAAACCAGCCCGACTTTTCCAGGCTCTCTAGCTGCCCCACAGGCTCTGCAGTGTCTGAAGGATGCCAAGAGCTGCTGACATGCCCATGTTTATCCAGCTGGACTTGGATGGTATCAGGAAAGGAACCCAGGAATTGCAAGTCTCCCAGACCAGGCAGTGGGTACCCTGAGAGGCCAAGGGTCACCCCCTCCCATGCACAGCACCCTGCTATTGCTTTTCCAGGAGACCTTGTGTATGAGGGAAACTCTGCAGTTCCCATCACCTGCAGACAGACAGGACGGACACACAGAAGTACTTTGGAAGGAGCGTTTATTGCTACATGGTCAGTCCACAGAGGCAGTTTGGTTACATCAAGTTTTGTAGCTTGGAGCTGAGAGGATCTAATTCATGGCAGCGGCTGTTGCGACGGGTCTGCAGGGAGCACAGCCAGGTCAGGGCCACATCAAGCGTCGTGTGAGTGCCCATGTCCATGCCCAGGCTTATGCGAGGTGTTGTGCACGTCGATGGCCACGCTTGCCAGCGTGATCAGGAACTCGGTGAATTTGACACGGCCATCACGATTCACATCAGCCTTTTTGAAGAGGTTGTCTAGGTACTCTTCCATGGTTACATTGGGCTAGTGGGGAGAAGAGCAAGAGACAGGCTGCGTGAACCCAGGAAGCTGCAGGCTGACGCTGCCTGCCCGACAGCCCCCTGGCTCCTCACGCACTGTCCCTGAGGCAGTGAGGAGCTAAATCCCTGGATTAGGGAGGGATTTTTCAAAGCTCAAAAGCCACTTAGGGCCCCAGGGCATCAGGTGGGAGCCAGGGCCTGGCTAGGTGCCTGCCCCACCTTGCCATGGGCACCTCCAAGCCCCAGCACTGCTGTACATTGAGCTGGCCCAGCCCAGACCCACTTACCGGCTTGGTGTGTTTCAGAAAGTCACTGGCTTGTTCTCTGAGCAGCTTCTTGAACTCGGCCTTCTGCAGGTAGTCATCCATGGGGTGCCGGAAGGAGTACTGGTGGTAGATGTTGACGATGCAGTCCAGCTCCTTCTCCAGCTGGGTCTTTCGCTTGACGGATGTGGGGGAAACCTGGGAGCCGACAGAAAAATGCTTAAGGCTGAAATAAAAGGGACTAGAGGTGACTCCATCCTGCCAGCAATGTCCACCCACCCTGCAAAGGGACCCATTTCTGGTGCAACCCTGAAACAGAGGCACCGCGGTGCTGGGCACGGTGCATGAACGGAGCAAGCAGCACCTCCCACCCATCTCTCATCTGAGCAGGGAAGAGGCAGGAAGCATTTCATGCTCCCACAAGACACAGGCACGTTCTCAAGCTGCAGCATCATTACCTCGCCATGGTCCTGGGAGAGAGCAGGGGCCTGGTTCCTGACAGACCTGAAGGGTCCAGACACCCTCCCCTCTCCCTGCAGCGCCATGCACAGTGCAACTGCGAGAAAACCAGATGCAAACACAGGCAAATTAGCAACCACGGCTGCTTCTGGGCATACTTACTTCCATACTGAAGGCTGGGCAGGCTACGGAGGACTGGCTCAGGAGGTGTGGTGCCTGCCGCACCAGCCAGGGGCTTTTTATACCCTCCCGGAGCTGCGAGTCTTGCTCACCATGTGGCACAATCGGCTTTTCTTGGCAGCAACACGGGGTGGTTGCACAATGCTTTCGGCACTGGCACACCCAGGTGTTGTTTTCTGGAACTCGTACAGAAACAGACAGCTCCGGGGATAATTAAGAGGCCTTGCTGGGGAGGTTGCTGGCTGAGTCTTGAGGAGCTGGCTTGGGGGACACCAGGAAGCGATGGTCGGGAGGGCTGCAGGATGGGAGTTTGCAAACGCACCCAGTCCTCAGCCTGCAGCAGAAAATGAGTACTGCACAGGAACGCTGAGCTCCACATCGGCAGGTGCCCAGCTGCTGTTGGGGTCTATGATGTTGAGTGAAAGTTTGGGAGAGAAACAGAACAGGAGTCCTGAGTGCAAAACAGGGGCCAGACTGGGGAATGGGGCAAAAGAAGCAGCTTGCTCCTTTGGGATCCCAGATCTCTGGCTTCTCCCAGAGGGTCAGTCAATGGAGACAAGGGTGGGCTCCGTTCCTGAATGCCTGGTGCTGGTTGTGGGATTCCTGATTCTCATGCACAGGCATGGAGTTGGGGCATGGGAACACGGGGCAGCAAAAGGCCCCTTGGTCTTCCCAGCCAGGCCTTGCACACAACAGCACCTGGGCAGCGATAGCGCGCCGAACAGGTCACACCCATGGGTCTGTCTGGTGCAGCTCATGGGTCCAGCTAGCTTTCCCCTGTCATAGATAATGAGGGTTGGAAGAGACTTCGGGAGGTCACATCTAGTCCAACTCTCTGCTCCAAGCAGGACCAGTCCCAACTGCATCATCCCAGTCAAGGCTTGTCCAGCTGGGCCTTAAAATCCTCCAAGAATGGAGACTCCACCACCTCTCTGAGAAGCCTGTTCCAGTGCTTCACCACCCTTCTAGTGAGAAAGTTTGTGTAATATCCAACCTCAACTTCCCTTGCTGCAACTTGAGCCCATTGCTCCTTATTCTGTTGTCTGCCCCCACTAAGAACAGTCCAGCTCCATCGTCTTTGGAGCCACCCCGCAGGTGAATAAATTGATGGATAAGTTTTTCAGTACTCTACATACAGCAGCAATGGGCATTTAATAGATGAGAGCTAGACCACAGGGCTGTGCAGATGGACTGAGGGGGCTGCATGCAGATAGAGGCGACAGCCGGGTGCGTGCATAGATTTAATAGATTTCATAGACACTGGGGCTGGAAGGGGCCTCGGAAGATCATCGAGTCCATCCGCCTGCTCCAGGGGCAGGAAGTCAGCTGGGGTCAAAGGATCCCAGCAAGATAGATATCCACATTTTTGTTAAAAGAGTCCAGAGTAGGTGCTTGCACCTACTCCAGTCTATTCCAGGCCTTTAGGGCTCGGACAGTAAAGAAGTTTTTCCTTATGTCCAGCCTGAAACGGTCTTGGAGGAGTTTGTGATCATTTGACCTTGTCATGCCTTGGGGTGCTCCAGTGAACAGGCATTCCCCTGGATCCTGATGCATACCCATTGTATACTTATAGGCAGTCACCAGGTCCCCCCTGAGCCTGCACTTCTCCAAGCTGAAGAGTCCCATGGCTCTCAGCCTCTCATCATAGGCCCTGTTCTCTTGCCCTCTGATCATGTGCTTGGCTCTCCTCTGGACTCCTCAAGCGCTTGGCTGTCCTCAAGCTTCCCCACATCCTTCTTGAATTGTGGAGCCCAGAATTGGATGCAGTACTCCAGCTGCGGCCTGACCAAGGCCGAGTACGGTGGGAAGAATGACATCCTGGGATTTGCTCGAGAAGCATCTATGGATGCAAGCCAGAATTTTGCTCGCTTTACCAGCTTCAACATCACATTGGTGGCTCATATTCATATTGTGGTCAATCATGACCCCCAAGTCCCTTTCTTGCCCCACAACCAGGCTTGTCCCTGGTAGTAGCCTCTCTGCTTTTGGCTTTGTCACCATCCAACAGGTAACCTGTTGCACCTTCTGAGAGCAAGCCAAGGCCTTGCTTGCTAAGTCCTCATCCCCAGCTGGATGCAGGAACCCCTCAGGGTTTGGGGAAGGGTAAATCTCAGGCCATTAGTGCTGTCTTCAGGCCAGTCCCAGGTGGGGCACAGATAGCCCAGCTTTCCGGAAGAGCAACACCCAGCCCTCTTGCCTCAGGCCCTGCCCAATGTTGAGTAATGGCCTCCGTACCCCATAGGAATGACAAAATTACCAGGAAGGGCACAGAAGTGCCCCACACCCTTGGCCTCCAGACATCAGGGATTGTGCAGGGGAGTTTCACAGGCCAGAAGTGTTGCAGCTGCTCTGGCTTCAGCTGCCACTGCTCCATGGGATGAAGGTGCCCACCTGGGTAGCTCCATGCCCAGCCTGCTTGGAGGCAGAGTGCCAGAGCCTCCCACAGCTCCCTGGGTGATGATGGAGCATAGACAGGGAACAGCTGAGTCTCCCAGAGCAGGGTCTGAGGCTTTCTGGAAAAAGCCAAGGAAAATGATGCCCCAGCAAAAATCACCAGCCCATTATCAGCTGGTGCCCTGGCAGGGAAGGTCTCACCAGCCTCCCTGCATCAGCTAGGGGTGGCCCCACGTGATGCCCTGAGTTACAGGATGAAGAAGCTGTGTAGGAGATGGGAGAGCACTCATCCTTGGTCTCCACTGCAGCAAGAGGAGGTTGAGGGGGGTCTGTAAAGTCATGGAGGGTGTGAACCAAGTGAAGAGGGACCTGTGATGCATTGAGTCCCAGACCACCGGAACTCTTGATGTGAGCAGGATCTGGGTTTGAAACACCCCAGGGAGATATTTCTTGAGGCAGCATGTCGTTAACCTGTGGAACTCACTGCTGTGAGAGGCTGTTGAGGCAGAGTGCAGCCAAAGACAGGCACATTCATGGGTGACAGAGCCATTAAACTGAACAGCCAGGTATGGTTCAGCAGAATGGGGGTGGTGGGTAGAGGGTCTGCCAGGGGACACAGCACTCTAGATAGACCCTGTTTACATACAGCCTCTGCTGTGATGTTCTGCTGATATCAGTGCCCTGCCCTATGACTGCCCATTCATGCCTGCTACAGACCTGGCACCAAACCCCCAGGCCGCAATTCCAGCATTGACTATGCAGAACCATATGCAGATCCTGCCCCATGTGGGAGCAGAGGGATTAGTCCCTGCTTCCTTGTTCTCCCCACACCCTTTCCTGACCACGAAGCTCTGGCTCAGCTTTGCACTCCCTATCCCTCAAGCCAGGCCTTTCTCAACCGCTCTCCAAAGGCACGGAGCTGCCTTGCTCATGCAGACATGTCTGTGCTGGGTCCTCGCAGTGTTGGTGGCATGTCCTGGCACTGTTCATTGTTTCCCTAACTGCTGCACACCCAAGATACGTTTAGGGATTAGGTCCTTGACTTTGCCTTGCTCCTGGCACCACTGCCTCTCCTGGGACCAGCCCCCCAGCCCCCTAGCTTGGCAGCCCCATGCATCCCTGTGCCCCAGCCTCTTCCAGCATCCTCCACGTATCCTAAACCCTGCGTAGCCTGCATGGAGGAAGCCAAAGGTACACTGATGGTTGCTGGCTCACAGCTGGCTCTTGCAGCTGCAGTGTTCCCTTACCACCCCACACACACACACACATGCCCCACCCTACCCCCCACAACCATCCAAATCCTTCCAGGTGCTTTGTGGGAAGCAAGGGTGAAGTGAGTCCACCTGTGGCCCTGCCAAAACTCTGCATCGGGTGGAGACTTTACTGGCAGGACTTAACGTGGTTGCTACATCATCCTAGGCTGTTTCGTAGTGCCAAAGTCTGATGCTGGTGCCAAGGGCCCCGACTGCTGTGAAGCCATTGCTGGATACCCTTGAGGTTCCCAAGCCCCATTCCTAATTTAGCACAAATATCTTCAGTCGGCTTCCCTCAGTTTGAAGATCAAAGCACTTCCCCAAGTCCTCACCCTTTCTAACTGTCGTACACCCCCTGACCCTGGTTTAATCCCCCAGACCTGCTGCCACATGTCCTTTCCACCCCAATGGAAGAGGAGCCTTCACATGGGAAGGTAAATGCACACATGCCCCCTGCTGTAACACGGCCACTAGCCACCAACCTTCCTGTCCTGCTTGCTAGGTCCTGCTCCCTAGGTTTCAAGCCCAGGAGGGATCTGCTGCTCTGATCTGTCCCATGTCACAGGGGAAGGCCCTGAATTCATGGCTGAACAAGATTGCAGCTCCTTGCAGATCCACCATCATAGGGGAAGCCATTGCAATGGTGAAGATACCCATGCTAGCTGAGGCTAATAAAGGGCTCTCCGTTCTGCGCCTGGCATCCCTCCTCTCTCTCTTTTGTCCGTTATAGCCTAATCACAGCTCCTGCTACAACGGTGCTAACAGGCCTATTGGAACAACAAGGACAGGGCCTCAGGGATGGTATAAAGCTGCCAGCAACCATGCTGTAGACTTGGCCTTGAGTTCTCCCCTGCCAGGGCAGTGGTTCTCCATCTTTCCCAGGCAGCCGCCCCGCTCCCGGACCCCCCACCCTACTTCTACTGCAAGTCTGACTCTTCCAGCTGAGTTTCCATGTAACGGCTGCATCCCACCACCCATGTCGGTGCCCCTTGAGAGAGATGCGATTGTTTACCCTGTCACAGAAACACAGAAAATGTGAGCTGGGAGGGATCTCAGGAGGTCACATCTAGTCCAACCTCCTGCTCAAAGCAGGACCAGCCCCAACAACATCATCCCAGTGTGAGGAGCTAGCTGGTAGTGATTTGGCCGAGGGGTTTTGAAGGGGCAAAAGATGATTGGAGGGTTTGGGATTCCCTTTCCTCACCAATCAGGCCCCAGAGACTCACCCTCCATGCCTCTGATTGGCCCCTTGGGCCACCTGGAGGGGAATAAAGGGGGCAGCACCAGCAAGGGACCACAAGGAAGAAGCTTCAAAGAGCTGGCAAGAGCTAGGGGAGGAGCAGTTGTCCCAGAAGCATCTGAAGGAGCGGGACCTGCAGGCAACAGTTGGACCCTCAGCAGCGCAGCGCAGCGGGCCGCCGG